TCTCTCTCTCTCTCTCTCTCTCTCTCTCTCTCTCTTAAAAAAAGAAATTTGTTGTTGGAGACTTTATGTTACAATTTACGCAAGCAAGTATATTGGAGGATTAAATATGCTCTTGGCATGCCTTCACCATTTTTTTTTTGAGAGCTGAGACAAAATTAAGATTGCTTGCATTTTTATATATTCTCTAATCATTAGGTAACATTGTCCAACTATTTTGGAAGAAGGCAGAGTAAAACCACCTAATCAATAAATATATGGATAAACTAGGTGGCAGTGAGTGACCCCGTGAGTGTGCTAGAGCTTCAAGACATGAAAGAGGGAACAGTTTTCTATTCCTCCAGTGCCTGGTTGATTCAGAGTTGGAAAGTATGAAGGCCTCTGGGAATTTTCCTATAGGGTTGAGATAACTTTCCTACTCCTACAGAGACTCACAGAAGCATGCAAATGAGTGGAGAAAAGTCAGCAGTCAGAGTCTCTTCCTCACTTGTCAAATGAAAGCTTACAGGAAGAGAAGCAGGCACAGGATACTTTCTGACATTTTTGATGCAAACAGAAATTAAGTTCAACGTTCTTTTCTTAAGCAGAAATTCAGGTCAGATGTTTGGTGAACTTCCATAAATAATGGTCATGGATCACCTTCCTTGTGATTGCATTATGATGATGTACCACTGGCTCCCCTTGTCATTTCCACTCCTCCCTCAGAACAGTCATCGCTCCTTCTTCTACAGTTTGCTTATCCCAGCTGTAATTTCTGAGGGCAGTGTCCCTATCTTTCATCCCATATCCCTATGCTTAGCACAGGACCTGCCCTGCTACTGGGACTCATTAAATATCAATTAAATGAATAGATACTGCAAAGTTTTAAAAAGAGAATGCTATCTTACCAGATACTGATCGGTTTATCTAGGCTGCCAGCAGGCAGGGATGGGGGCACCTGCTAGGCTGATAGTTCTCAGATGAAAATTCATTTATTCTCTCTCAGGCATCTTACATTAAACAAGGTTTGGGAGTCATTCTGTGTTGTAAGACCCAGATGGAAAAATCAAGCTACTGCAGGCAGCAGCCAAGCTGAGGCAGAATAAAAAGGGGGTGAGGCCAACATGCAGTTAGAAAATGGAAAAGTAAGGGAGGGAGTCAGGAGCTGAGTTTTTACAACACAGCCGACAAGATCTGCATCTGTAACCATATATGCTGCTGGATATGAAGCTACAGTCCTGTGGGCTTCGCCCTGCTCATTAGATCTAACCCAAATCACTTGTTGGAGAAAGCCCCCGACAGGACTACAGCTTCACCCATCTGTCTGCCCCAACGTGGCTTCTTCCCCATATGTAGTTTTATGGGTCCGCTTTGTTTGTGCTTTAGGAAAAGTGACAACTGGATGAGATGAACAGGATGCAGGCTGCCTGTCTGTAAGTAAATGCTCCAGCTGTTGACTCAGTGCTCAGCTGCTAATGAATCAGAGGCAGAAGGAATTCACAGAGCTGCTGGAATTTGAGGAAAGGGTGTCTTTGATCATGCAGCACACAGGATTATTCATTAAAAAGGCTCATGGTCTTGCAGATAATGTGGGATTCTGGGTTTTGGATGGCTGTAGTTAAGGACGGCTTCAGATAACTTCCTCCAAAGTAGAGGATTATTTTTATCTTTTCTACTCTCAACAACAAAGAATGGCTTACCTCCAATGACCGCTGAATCACTCCGAACTGCATTGGTAAGTGGTTCCCGCTCATCTGTCTTCCCAAAGGGATCTAAGGAGAAAAAGACCTGAAACTTGACTCTCCACTGGAACCATCAGAAACAGGATGTAAAATACCTACAGATTATATCAAATGCACTAAAATAATTGTGAGTTAGCATTTTGGAATTCCAGTGAAAACAAAAAGAAGCATTTTAAATATGCTGCTTATAACCCACAGTTCCTAGACCCTCTTAGCTTATATGTAAATTACAGGATAAAGAGTTGAGCCAGAGAATACTGGTTTCTTGACCATATGTCCTCAGTCTTCCCTTGAGGTCCTTTGCTGCTTTGCTGGATAGTTCTTGTGTATGAGTAGGCTTCTTACTGTAAGCACACATCCCTCTCTGCATGAGGGTTTTCTTCATTTGCAAGAGGGTTCTGAGCCCATTGGCAGAGAAAAGAATAAATACTCCTAGGAGCAGCCCTCACAGAGATACATACATGGTACAAGTGAATAATATGTATATTATAGTAAAAGAAAAGAAAAACAGCAAGTTTAAAAGTACACAGATGTGGCTCTGAATCCTTGCTTGTGCTGTAAAATGTGATCTCTTGAAATGACAAGTTGCATACATATTAAAAGTGGGCAGGGATACTTATGTGCATGTATATAATGCATACAAATATTCAAAACCTGGTGGATAATACACATTTAAGAAATAGCCACTCTTGTTTTCATTTCATCATTGAATTCTCAGGAATCGACAAAATTTGTATTAATTTAATTTTATTATTTTATTTTTTGGTATGAAGAAATAAGAATGGAGTCAGTAAGAACTTGCTTAATGCCTTGTACTCATTTGTTGCAGAGTGGAGAATTCAAACCCCAGGTATACAGGGCCACAGTCAGACTCTTTCTATTATACCTTACCACTGCCAGGAAAAACCTAAGACCAGTAAAGTGTTGAAAGTAACAAACCACCCTTTGCTCATAATTAATAACTTGTTTGGCAATTAATAATGCATTATTTCATGACATCACTAGAGCTATGTGTCATTTATATTTTTTCATCTGTTAGATGGGAAAAATAATAGTCTCTATAAGATTTTATGGGAATTACATGAGTTAATGTATGTTTTTAAAGTAGTGCCTGACACAATGAAACTGTTTAATAAATCTTGCTTCTTATTTTAATGTGGTGATTATTTTCATACACACATAGGTGAGCATGTACATCCTAGTCTCACTGCCCCCGCAGCATCAAGCTCTGATGGAAAAGATCAAGTCTTACACATGTATCAGCAGTTCTACCTGCCATGTGTGGCAATACATAAAAGATGTTGGGGTAGTATTTCTTGTGGAACTGGGTAAACAGTATTAGACTCCTTGTGGTATATTCTGTGGAACTTTTCCTAAGACTCATGAAACTGAAGCTCAGAAAAAAATACTAAGAAAGAGAGAATGAAGGAAAATGGGAAGGGCATTCAAGGAACTGGTATGGGGTGGACATTCTGGGTTGGAAGTATTTATAGAGTAGTTCTATTGAAAAAAATTTTGGTTGTGGAACTTGATAATGCTATTAATCATTGCTGGATGTTCAGATAGTTTACATGCATGTATGCATACATGAGATTGATGACAACAGGAGCGACAGTGATAGTGGTGTTTATATGTGACACACACAGAAAGCAAACAGACAAGGAAAGGTGGAAATGAGAAATCAGAAGAGGAGATGAGAAGAAGTGAGAAAAAGGAAGGGTTATGTAGAAGGTGCTCCAGGGCAAAGGGGGAGGAAGGGGAGAAAGGAGGGAGAAGGAGGGAGGAAGGAATGAAGAAGTGAAGAAAGGGAGAAAAACAAAACCATTTAGTCATTATATTTCCTGTGTCCTCTAAAGCCTGCTGTTATTATGTATTCCTATGCCAATATTCCTTCCTGGAATTCCTCCCACTTTGCCATACATATATAAACTTAGCTATCTGCCAGGTTTAGAGCATGGTTTGTTTTTACTCCAACTTGCATTGATTCCTCTTTAATTTAGTCTATGCACTACTTTGTAACTGTATAAACCAATGCAGACTTGGTTTTAACCCAGATTTTTCAATACCTGACATATTTTGTTGTTGTTATATTAACATATATTAATTCAGTTTATTAATTCTAACTCTCCGATATATTTATTGGAGCCACAAATAAAACACTTCTGAGATGATAAGATGATGGTTTTAGTAACGTGATTACAAAACTTTTAAAATAACGGGATTAATCCATGCTTGGATGTGTACCTCCAGGAAAATAATCCTTCAGGATGTTAATCTATATATTCATTGGTGAGTATTGTGTTGATGGTTTGTCTCTATTGTCTTTTACAATTTTAAAGCCAACTGTGAGTTGTAAGTCCCCCTCTCAATAATGAATGACTTCATTTAAATACATACCTATATACCTCTATGTTTCCAGATCTGTCTGTATAAATATTAAAACACACACACAAACACACATACATAATGTTTAATAAGAACTCCCTGTTTTTTAATGCTAGACTCCTGTATCTGTATGATGAATTTTCCAGAGTTTTCTATGGTTTATTAAACATGCTAAACTGCACTAGAAATTCACACATCTACTTACATACTAGTTCAGCAACCAGACTGTATCTCCCTTACACTTAAATACTTTGATCCTCAAAACAGCAGCCACTTAAACAACAGGAACTATGTATACATATACACACATATAATATGATTATATATATATATGTGAAATATATAAAATTGTGCCTTTAGTTCTAATTGTTCATCACATGAAATAGTATTATATTAAATATGTATGAAATCACCCAATTCAGGGTAAAGAATTGAGTACTATTAGCTGGCTCTTTAAACTGGAAGCTTCTAGAAGACAGGTAAGGTAGTCTTAGTAAGGGGACTTCATTAGGCATTCTCAGGAATCTACCTGATGAAGAATGCACAGTGGTCACTGCATTCACTTCTGAATCCACCATGGAGCCACAGCTAGATTCTGTCAAGGTCCCCTGGACGGTCACCGGTGCGATAGTGGCATGACGCAGGGCTGCCTTCAGTGGTGCTATATGATTATACTGGACTGAAGAAAGGCATCCAACAAAACCCAGGGCATTCACTTTAGCAATTTCAGAATCCAATCCAATATTATCTGCAATGTAAAAGACCACCAGAAAATATATATATATTTTTTAAAAAAAATATGCTCTATGTTTTTTGACTATTGTATATAATAACTGAAATGATCTTATTATTCTTTAAGGAAAAAAACTTCCCGTCTTTATATCCTCTTTCCAACTTTACCCACCCCACACTGCAAGCATCAATGTATCAACCAGATTTTGTAGATAACTGCTTAGCCCATCTCTGCTTTTAGATAGAAATGTTTCAAAACAAAACTTGTATTCATGTATTTTATTATCTGTAGAAGGACAGCAAATGTGTCCTATACTCTTGGTGTTTAATAGAATTTGTATCAGCATCTCTTTTACCATTATCTGTGAATGCAGGTAATTAGGACATCCATACTACAATTCTCATTAAAAATCTCAATAAAAATGAAACAAAAAATGATAAGATGTAGACAATGAGATTAGAAATCAAAATGGTCTTCCCATATATTTATTGTATTTACTATTTTAAGATATCTGTGTAAATTAACCTCTAGAGAAAATGTCTACCTGCTTGGTTCTGCCCATGGTACTGACTGGTGAGAGATTGCTTTGTTATTTTGACAGCATTCAAGTTCCTAAAGTAGTTTTGAGTCTTTATTAAAGATGAAGATGCAATCATTTGGGATTTACAATAAGATCAAATGTCTCGTTTTCTTCAAGATTTGTAGCAATATTATCCAGCATCATATTTCTTTCTCTTAAAAGGGGTCATTTGGACAAATTGCTGTTATGCAGTTACCTAAACCTTCAATGCATAATAAACCATGTTCTTAAGATATGAGAGTTTTAACATAATTAGGTAGCTCAAATGGTTATTTTATCATGATAATCTTTTTTTTATTTTCTGGAAGGGGGCATCTACTTTCTTAACTAACGCTGTACATTACAATTTTATTTTGATTCATAAATGGTCAAAGGGTGTCTTCATGGATCTGTAAGTATGCATTATGTTGGCAGTATTAAGGAAAAGATGTGATGAGATTATATTTGAAAATAATAAATTAACATCCCTTGATAATGCCTTTTCTAATTTATGCCCTCAATTTACCTCCCTCTTCAATACCCATGTAACCTTCATCAATTTATCATCTCTCTTTTCTTACATGAGAAGAGAGTAATTGCATATTAAATTTATGTGGCTGCTATAACAAATTATCACAAACTTAAACAACTTATATCAAATAGCTTAAAACACAAATTGATTATCTTTCATTTTTGTAGGTTAGAAGTCTGAAATAGCACTCGCTGGCCCCACAGTGTCAGCAAGAATGATTTCGTCTGGAGTCTCAGTATGATACGTTTCTGTTATAAATCTGGGATGTCCCCTGCAAAGCTCATCAATCTAGGGATTAGGACATGGAATCTTTGTGGCAATGCAGCAATGTTCAGAGATGAAAAATATTGTATTATTAGAGGTGTAACCTCATCAGTCCATTAATCCATTTGGTGGATTAATAACTTGAATAGCCTACTTGATGGTAACTGTAGGAAGGTAGGACATGGTTGAAGAATTAAGTTACTGGGGATGTGGCTTTGGACTACATCTGTTCCTGGCTTCTTTCTTTGCTTCCTCACTGCCATAAGCTGAGCAGCTTTCCTCCACCATGCCCTTGCACCATGATGTTCTTCCTCATTTCAGAGTAGAGCAATGGAGCTGGCCAACCATAAACTGAGACCTCTGAAACTGTGAGCCCAAAATAAACTTTTCCTCTTCTATGTTGTTCTTGTCAGGAAGTTTAGTCAATCAAAAGCTAACACATTTTCTTTTTCATTTTTTAGCTTCTAGAATCCAATCGTTTTCCATAGCTTAGTCTCCTTCATCTATCTTCAATAAAATCAATGTTGCATTTCTATGTTCCTTTTTTTATAGTCACACACACCTATGATTCCATTATTTGGCCTCTCTCCTTCACCTTTAAGGATTCATGTTATTACATTGCATTTGTGCTGATAAGCAAAGATGATATTTCCATTCTAAATGCAACCCATTAGCAACATTAATTCTATTCCCAAACTTAATTCCTCTTTGCCACTTAGTCTAACATATTCAGAAGTTCTAGGGATTAGGACATGGAATCTTTGTGGCTCATTATTCTAAGACTCCATGTCAGATATGCTGTAAGAGCTGTCCTGGTGATGGAAATTAAGATCCAATAGCATTGTAATACTACTCTTCTTAAGTGTAAGAGACCAGTAGGGTGTGGGAGGAAACAGATAACTTCTAAATATTCAAATAAACAACCTCCATCCATGGCACACATTTTTTACTTAGTAAATGACCACATATGTTTATTTGTTAGCATAGATTTTAAAAGACTGTGTCCCATATGAGATTTCTTGCACCTTGTTATGCAACAGTTTTCTAGATCAAAAAGCTGAGATAAGCTGGAGGCTATTAACCAGTGTCATCAGAACTCAGTGTACCCAGCTGTAATAGAGAATGTATGTGAATTTCTGATTAGTTGTTAGTGAAGGGTAAAATTAGAAATCAGTAGTATCTAGATGAAGAAGCAGAAGAGAAGGGAAGCATAAGTTGTCATGAAGTTTTTGCACTGTAGGATATAAAAGCAGTGGAAAGTGACAGGCTATTGAAGCTATGCTTTGAGGGTCTTAGTCAAAAGTGCCAGATCTCATTCTCAACACTCACTTGGAATGCTGCTGACATTGGTGCCAAGGTCATTGGAGGACATCACATAGTGGATGTCATAAATACCAGTCCCAGGTGCAAGAATAGGTAAGAGATAAAAAATGGGCAAAATGCCAGTGAGTGGCATTCTCCACTTACAGGAAAATTGTGTTGAATAAAGTCTTATCTTATAAAAAAATATGTTTTTTCTAGATGTAGAAGAGAGACCTTGAGATATTTCTGGAAAAAAAATGAAGAGAGCAAGGAATTCCTGGTATGAGAAAATAATCTCAGTATGACATCTCAGATAGTAATTTTTCAGATTTTTAGTAAAAGCCGAAAAGCAAAAACCATAGAACTGTTTCAAATGATTTTTGCATTTTATGATAGTATTATCTACTAAGTAGTAGAAAATAAAAATAAATGAATAATAAGCTGCAGAAAAAAAGAACAAACTCACATTCACCAATCATTGAACAACTACTATAAAACAATGTATAATTGCTACTCAAATATTTTTATATTTTCTTCAAACTTTCTTCCATGTATTTGTTATGATTCTAGAAAATTTAAAGAGGAAGGGATTGAGAAACAGATAACGTAAAAGATACAGTGAAGTGAGAATTGAGGTATAGACCAAGATGTTATGACTTTAAATGCTATACTCTTCATCTAACATATGATAGCTCTCAACTAAGTAAATAAATAAACTTCAAAACATTTTATACACAGAGTAAAATAATTTTACATAAATTATTTTCAAAAGCATAGGTTGCAAAAACTAAGAAAAACATGAAGTGTTTTTGTTGAATGTCTCATGCAATTTACTGAACTCTGTATTACATGAAAGACATAATGTATTTACCAATCAATTTAATTCAGTTTTTGGATTACAATTGCATTAGACTCATAAGGAGCCAAGTGATGAAACTATTTTGTGTGCTCAGCTAACAAATAAATATCCCAGAAGAATGCAAGAGTGAAAGTGGTTCCCCAGAAGCATAAGGGATGAGAATGCAAAGATATTGCTACTAAAAAACATTCAAGTTCCCTTTCCCACTCTTCCTTAGATTTTCTGTTAATGTATAAAATTATCATCCAAAAAAAGGAGAATTGAAAAGTTTTCATTCATATGCTACCATTCTGAGAAGCCACGGGTGTCTTACAAGGAAAAATCTGCAGTATTTCCATTAGTCTTATTTGAAATACATACTTTGTCCCTCTCAACACAATTTAAATCCAATCAAAATACAGTTTCTGATTCACTTTATATCCCAGCAGCCCTCTCTCAAATATTGATGTAGAAGCAGCATGGAGTGCTGACAAGGTATGGGGGAAGTTAGACATCAGTTACTTTTATAAGAGGGTGTGCCATCAACCAGAGTCAGGCAAGCAAGCACACTTCAGCTAGCAGCAACCTGTTGTTATAGCTAATGCAGCACTGCCTCTTTGTTTTGATAGGAGAAACTTGAAGTTTCAGTGTTCATTGCACAAGTAACTTCTGTTTCCCCATTTCTGAGCTCCAGTTTTGCCCATGATAAAATAGTGATCACTGGATCTGCCATATGCATCATGGTAGAAATAAACATAATGATATAGTATAATTCTTAGCTCAGTACCCATGATTTGTTTTTGGTGTTTTGATGTTGTTGCTGTTTATTTTTTTTTTGTTTTGATACAATATGCTGTTTTGATATAGGTATGTACTATGGGATGGCTAAACAAAATATTTAGTGTATTTGTTATCTCACATACTTATCAATTTACTTTTAGGGTGAGAACACTAAATATTCACTCTTTTGGCAATTTTCAAACATCAAACATATTCTTATTAATTGCAGTCACCATGATATACAGCAGATATCTTGATCATTCATCTACCTGGTCTAACTGAAATTTTCATGATTTATCAACATCTTTTCATAACAAGTGCATATTATCATTAGTAGTAGTTTCAGAAGTACCAATGTCTTTTATTCCTCCTACTGTTCTTCAATTCCAAACCTCTTTACCTGAATTCAAGACCCCTCAATATGCCCAAATAATACCGTGCTTGAGAAAGAAGATGTAAATGTTGATTTGCATGCTGTGCAATCTTTCTACTAAATTTTCACTTCACATGGACTCAGAGTTGAATAGACATAATGTTCAAAGTTTTAATGACTCAGCTGGATAATTTAATATAGACTAACTTCTTCAGGCATTTAAAAACCTGACTTTTTACATTAATTTGCAAACACTCTTATTGCTTCAAAGTAAAGCTGTACTTCACTATTAAATCTAGTGGATTTGAGATGCCAAGGAAAGTAGCACAGAACCAATTTTAGCCCCAGAAATGCTTCACACAATTGC